CCTCTAAATGTTTGGCACCCCACCTCATTTTCTTTCCCAGACTATTACACCATTTCCTTCTCTTAGTTATCAAATATTTATTTTTCAGAGTTAAACAAAAATATGTTGCACCTGCCTGGCAAGCGCAAGGTCCTGAGTTCGATCCCCCGTACCAAAAAAAAAAATAGTTGTAAAACAGTATCCAGATGCTAAAGAGAAAAATGAGCTGAGCGTGGGGGTGCACAGCTATAATCCCAGGACTCAAGAGGCTGAGGCAAGGGGCTGGGGATATAGCTTAGTGGCACAGCACCTGCCTGGCAAGCATGAGGTCCTGAGTTCGATTCCTAGTACCCAAAGGGGAAAAAAAAGGATGAGGCAGGAAGAACTCTGTGAGGTTGAGGACAGCCTGGGCTACATAATCAGTTCAACGCCAGCCTAAACTACATAGCAAGACCCCGTCTCAAAAAGCCAGAAAAAATAAATTGTTCTTTTCAGTACTGAGATTGAACCTAGCACCTCTGCACTGAGCTATACCCCCAGCTCTTTATTGCTTTTTATTTTTAGACAGGATCTCCCTAAGTCACTAAGTTGTCCAGGCTGGGTTTGAACTTGTGACCCTTTTGCCTTAGCCTCCTGAGAGTGGGATTACAGATCTAGCCATTTGCTAATATTTTTTAAACAATGAAAATGAGCACAAAGGGCATAGGAAATATATACATATATGCACACACACTATATAAACAGACCATATGCACAAATTTAAAACTTACACACACACACATATATATGTACACACATTTTTTTTTTCTTTTTTTTTTTAAGATAGGATCTTGCTGGGAGTGGTGGTACATGCCTGTAATCCCAGCACTTGGGAGGCTGAGGCAGGAGGCTCATCATGAGTTCAAGGCCAGCCTGGGCTATATAAATGAGTTCAAGGCCAGCCTGTACTACATAGTAAGATTCTTTCTCAAAACAAACAAAACAAAATAAAACAAAACAAAAAAGACAGGGGCTTACAGTGTATTTAAGGCTGGCCTTGAACTCACTATGTAGCCCAGGTTGGCCTCCTGCCTCAGATTCCTGAGTGCTGGGATTACAGCCCTGTGCCACCACGCCTGGCGTAAAAAAATATATTTAAAATATTCTCTTTTCCTTCAGTGCAGAAATCGTGCACGGGCTGTGAATGTCCCTTGGGTAAAGTACACACTTGCCATGGATGAGGCCTTGGGTTCCGTCCCTAGCACCAAACACCTGTTGGCCCAAAACTGTAAAGAGCAAGCCATCCACCAGCCAGAGCTCCCCAGAGAGCGGGGAACTATACTCTCGTCCCCACTCTCACAAGGTTCCACTGGTGACATCCTGCACACACTGACTCCTCCTGGCTCTGTCCTGGGGGGCCGATGCTCAAGTCAGAGTCCTCCCAGGTCCCTGGGTTTCACATGTTGGGCTGCCTGGGGGACCTTCCTGTCCTTGCTTGGGACCACTGCTCCCTGCTGCGGGCACCCTGGCAGCCATGCATTTAGGACTCCTTCCCACCCGTCACGGAAACCTCTGTGTACTCATGTTTGTCGCCCCGCACGCAGCGCACCGCACGCCGAGGTGCTCAGTCCACGGCGCTGATCAAATACCACACTGATGCTTTCTTTCGGGCCCATCTGGCACAGGCTGAGAGAGCAAAAGACAGTGGGTGTGGCCACCCGAGACCACGCAGAGTCCCTGCCACCCGGAGGGGCCCAGTACCTTGATGGTTGCCAGGCTCAGCAGGCTGCAGGATTTGGGCAGCAGGGAGGTGAGCTGGTTTGTATGCACAATCAACACCTGGATGGCAAAGAGAGAGGCAGAGTTAGGCTGCAGAAGAGGGCAGACAGGGAAGGCTAGAGGCAAGGCAGAGTCCTGCAGTGCCCGGGGCATCTCTCATCTCTGCTAGCTAGACACACAACAGGAGCTGCTGTTCATCCTGAGAAAAGATCAGCCTCTTTTTTTTTTTTTTTTTTTTTTTTGAGACAGGGTTTCCCTATGTCATTGAGGCTGGCCTTGAACTCACTATGTAGCCCAGGCTGGCCTCAAACTTGCGGTGGTCCTCCTGCCTCAGCTTCCCAAGTGTTGGAATGCCAGGCATGCACAACTACACCTCCCCACATACACTGATCTTAACCTTCTCAGCTTCAGTGTCTTTTTTTTTTTTTTTTTTTCTTAACCTTCTCAGCTTCAGTGTCTTTTTTTTTTTTTTTTTTGAGACAGGGTCTCGCTATGCAGTTCAGGGTGGCCTTGAGCTCACTTTGTAGCCCAGGCTGGCCTCGAACTTGCAACGATCCTCCTGCCTCAGCCTCCCAAGTGTTGAGATCATAGGTGTGCTCGACCATGCCCAGCACTCTCAGTGTCATCTTGAAAAACAGAGAATGATAAAGTATCTGCCTCTGAGGTTTGTCGAGACTGAACAAGCTAATGGACAGTGTCTTAGCCCAGGACTGGCACATGGTGCAGTGCTCAACCTATGCGGTCCATCGCTACCTGGTCAGGTATCGACTGCTGCTTTAATACTTCCCGGGATGAGGAGCTCACTGCGCTGTTGCTGTGGAATCCTCCTCACCCATCTGCATCTAGAGGTTTTGGTTAATGTGCATGAATCTACTGCACCCAAAGGTGCAGGAGCGGCGCTGCTCTTCCGAAATATCCTTCACTCCCCTCCCCCACCCAGCCGCCACAGTGAAATGAGCGTACTTTGTTACCACACACACTGGGCTTAATAATCGTTTGCTATGCTGTCGGCATCAGATCCTCTGTCTGCATCACTCCTTAAATCTCCCAGTGCCTCCGAGAGCGGAACCTCTGAGTGTCCTCGTTACCCAAGGAAGAAACTGAGATGTCAGAGTTAAGGAAGTTGCCCAACTCACCAAGCCAGTGAAGGGCAGAGCTGAGAGTGAGCCAGGGCTGTCCCCGCCCCAGCCTGCTCTCCTTGCTGCGCAGACCAAGTGTGGGCTGACAGGGTGACAGCCGGTGAGAGGGAGGTGGCCCTGCAGGGAACACAGCCCCACCACCCCTGCATGTTTCAGATCCGCAACTTTCTGAACACGGACACTCAACTCACCTTCTTCTGCAGAACTCTGCACGTTGCAAAAGCCCCAAACGGAATCTGGGAGGAGACAGAGAAGTATCAGAGCCTCACCTCCTGATGGTCTCTAACTCGTTCTCTGCCCGGCACTGACGTGACAGGGGGACAGGGGGTGGGCGAGGGCCGACGCGGAGATCACACTCTGTTCGGGAGGCTGAGGAGCGGTGCAGGGAGCGCGCTCAGCCCTTTGCCAGCCGCTGCCGCGAGGCTGCCCTGCCCTGCCCTGCCCTCCCTGCCCGCCCCATCATGACCCAGTCAGGGGCTGCAGAATCCTCCCTCTTCCAGCACCCCTGGAATTTCTGGGTGCATTTTCTAACGAGCTCCTTGACTCGTGCAGATTATGTTGAGGACAAAAAAATCATCTCAATTCCTTTAGGCAAGAGTGGAACCTGAGGAAACATCTCTAGACTAGTACTTCTGGCTTTTTTTTTTTTTTTTTTTTTTTTGGTCTTTTTGAGGCAGGGTCTCGCTGTGCAGTTCAGGCTGGCCTTGAGTTCACTTTGTAGCCCAGGTTGGTCTCAAACTCGCAACGATCCTCCTGCCTCAGTCTCCAGAGTGCTGGGATTACAGGCGTGTGCTACTGGGCCCGGCATTTTTTTCTTTAAATGATTTTTATTGGTACATTTTAGGTATATATAATGACCACATTCACCACAGAGAATTTGTACCTACACGTGATATAACTTGATTCTTTCTTTCCCCTACCCTTCCATCCACCCCTCTTCTGGCTTTTTTAAAGCCCCAGTCCACATCTGTCATTCCTGGGGACATATGATCTAAGAAAACAGGAAAGATCATTTCAAAGCCCATGCACGGCCCTCAGTTTACCTCTGTGAGCTCACACTTAGAGATGTCAAGAATGTCATCTGCTCCCGCCTCTTTTGCCTAAGGAGGAAAAGAACATTGGTTTATTTATTGCCTGATTCTGGGGATGGAACCAGGGTCTTGAGCAAGCTAGGCAAGAAATCTCCCACTGAGCTACACCCCCCAGCCCTGAGCACTTTTTTTTTTTTTTTAATGTCCAAACAGAACACCCCCATGGGCAAACCAGGCAAGGAGACACAGAACTAAAAAGCAGCAAGGCCCCACAGGCTCCAGCTGGTCTCCCTAGTCCCTTCGTCGGTGGCCCAATGGCCCCTGCTGTCCCGGAGACTGAGGCCCTGCAGGGGAGAGAACCCAGCCAGCAATGATGAATGTACTCAGCTAGCAGGGGACTCACTTGGCAGAGGGCAGGGGAGGCAAGTGGCAGGGCGGAACCCCACTGCACAGCGCATAGGGGGAGCTGGGAAGGAGTCGGGGAAACCCACATCCCCTCACCAGACACATCTGGTACTCCAGGCGTTTCCGAGCCTCCTCACTGGGTTTCCGCTTCCGGAAGAAGAGCGGCATCCTTCCCTTTTCCCAGAGCGATTTTCAGGACTCTGGGGCACAGGAGAGAAGTTAGCACCTAGGGATGGGTGACAGCCCCCGATGCCCAGGACAGGTAGCACAATAACGCCAGCCCTGCAGCTGGTCTGCTGGACAGCGAGCTCCTTGTGCTAGGTATCTCCCCGTCACCATCCTGGGCCCCACACTGCACGCTTGCTACTCTGTTCTGTGCTGATGTAGTAAACAGTAGGACGGGGTGGAAGGAGCACAAAGGCAGGCCAGGTGCCCTGGGTTCGGGCCCACTTTTGCCGTGGACCCACCGTGAAACCTTGGCATCACTCTTGCCTATTCTGGGCCGTGTTTGTCCTCCACCACAGGGACATTTCCTGAGCTGCTGTCCAAGGGTGCTCCCTGACAGACTCAGCTGCTGGGTCACCCCTGGCCCTTGCAACACTGTCAGTGGCACCAGCCAGTCATGACTTGGGAAGCTCAACTCCTACCCAAAGAGATCTAGGAGGCAACAGAAAATTAAAAAGCAATCCTTCGCCACTGCAACACCCTCAGTTATTATTCTATTTGATTCTCATCACAGCCCCGTTTCCAGTGGAGAAACTGTCACCCCCTTAAGCTCAGCGCTCTGGCTCTACACCTTGGATTGCAGCAAAACCAGCCCGGAACCCCGGTCTTCCAAGTCCTGATCCTGTGCAGTTTGCCAACAACTTGGTACTCAGATAAACACACTAAGTACACTGTTTTGCATTTAGAAGCCAGCTGCTCTCTGTCTGCCCAGGGCCTGCACAGTATCTTCAATGATCCATGCTTGATAAAATACAGCAATGGGACAGAAAGCAGTCATCTAGCATGATTTAAATCCAAGATCTGCCACCTATCAACTGTCACTTCTGTTCGCCTCTGAGCCTGTTTCTTTTTTTTTTGTTTGTTTTTCTCCGGTACCGGGAACCGAACTCATGACCTTGCCCATGCCAGGCAGGTGCTTTTGCTGCTGAGCTAAATCCCCAGCCCCCTATGAGCCTGTTTCCTCAACTGGAAAGTGTAACGCTGGGTTCTGTGCGAGTTCAATGGTTTCATGTATGTGAAGCCCATAACACTGTCCTGGCACATACAAATGCTCAATAAATGGATGGGACAAAGCACCTTACCTGTGACAAAACTGATTCAGGGACTAACTACTACAGGAGGTAGGGAGAAAAGAGAAGCAGCTGAAGTCACGCACTAGGTCCTCAGGGGAATGGGTAGAGCTCACAGGTCTCTGCCCACAGGGGCGTGGACCGTCTGGGGAGGCTGCCAGGCCTGCAGAGCCGGCTCCGGGGCGGGCGTGCAGGTCATCCACCTGCCTGCAGGGATGTGGAATGGCTTCCCCCACCCCGCCTTGGTGACAAGCGCTACCCTTCTACTCCCCAGTGACTGGCCCTCCTTCACCCCCTTCCTGATGTCCAGCTCTCCCAACCTCTTCCTCAGGGACTGGGACTCCCCATCCGTATCAACCAGTTCTTTGCAATCTGCCTTCCGATGCCTATCGGTCATTCATTCTCTGCCCTGAGGTTCAGCCCAGATGGGGAGAACCACACCCATCCTTCCCTGGCCGGGTTGGGTAGAGGCGGACCTGGCTATGTGGACGGTGAGCTCCCCGACGTTTGGAGCCTCGGGTGGACCCCAAGGCTGGTCGGTCACTCAGAGGGCTTGATCATGGGCGCGGGATCGCTGACCCCGCGGCAAGGCGTTGGCGGAGCTGGAGTCTGGTCTCTTCGAAATGCAGGAGCTAAGACAAAACTCAATCTCAAAAGTCATGCAAACCAGGACGACGAAGTCTGAGTCTCTGGTTCCGCGGGATCGTAGAATTAAGAGGTGGACGGGATTTAGACCCGAATAGATTGCTGGGATGACTAAAATACACACATCACCAAGAGGTTATAAGGGGCCTGTAGTTGCCAAACACCGAGGTCTTGAAGTGGGGCTGCGGACTCATCAGGGGATGGGCGGGGCTGTGGGATTGGGTACTTCGGACCCCGAAGTGACCCTCAAAATAATGAAACATGAGAATCAGCAGGGCCCGGAATCTCAGAAGCCCCCTTTTCTCTGACGCTCCTTAAAATAAGTGCCCTGAATGCCCTTTCCGATTCCCTAGCCCCAGCTCACCGCGGTACCTTGACTTTCCGGCAGCCGGCTTCAGGCGCCTGCCCACAAGAAACATGGCGACTAGGGCGTCACGCAGGGGGTGGGCGGAGCCAGTCGTTCACGCGAGAGCGGTGCTTTCCTGCCTATATTCTGCGTGATCAGGGGAGCTTCCGGTCTTTCGGCTAGGAGGAGGCTAAGGTGCAACTTTCTTCGGTCGTCCCGAATCCGGGTTCATCCGACACCAGCCGCCTCCACCATGCCACCCAAGTTCGACCCCAACGAGATCAAAGTCGGTGCGTGCCCTAGCTGCAACCTCGGCTGCGGATGGAGCCTCGCTTCTTCCCGCGGCGCGCGCCGCATGTCTTTTCGTGCCGGGCTGCAGGGCCGCGCTTCCTAGAAGCCACCCGGCGCGGCGTGGTCGGGACAGGGCTTGCTTTTTCCGGGCCTCAGCTGCCCCCGCCTGTAAATGGGGAGGGAGGACCGGACGACCTGCGGCGGCCTTGCAGCCTGCGCGCCTTGGGGTAAGGCTCGTGCCCGGGCCGCTTGCGCCTCCCGGCAGGGGCTCGGCGCTGCTGGGAGAGGAGCCCGTGGCTGGCGTGCGGCGGGGGCTGCGGCTCGGGCCCCCTCCGCAGAGGCTCTAACCCTCCCTTTCTCCCAGTGTACCTGAGGTGCACCGGTGGCGAAGTCGGCGCCACGTCTGCCCTGGCCCCCAAGATCGGCCCCTTGGGTCTGGTAAGTCACCCCCGCCGGGCGCCGCTCGTTTCCCTACACGAGAGCGGAGTTCAGCCCTGGGTTGTGCAAACGCGACCGTTCCCTTGAGCCGCAGTGCTGGCCCTGGCCACCATACAAATGTCACGCGTAAAGAGTGGCACCCGGAACTTGACATTGTAACTTTCTAACTGCTGCCTTTGGTTTTGGTGTTCCCGAGGGATGTGAGGGCTCTGGAGTTAGGAGGGGCTTGGGCGAGTGACAGTGGGCAGCCGGCTCTTAGCTGCTTTTCTGGTTGCGGAAGTGGGCACAGCACCGTCAGATAAAGTGAGGTGGGTCCTGGCAGGCATAGCGGCTTGTTTCTTTCCCAGGACAGTGATCCCGTCCCCGTGGTCTTGGCCCGTAGTTGGCTGGCATCAAGGGAGGGACTCTTTGTGTTTAGGCTCGCTGGGGAATTTTAAAGTAGCGAATGCTCAGATCTCTGTTCCTACCAGCGGATTTGGTCTGATGTGGGAGCCTGGTATCATTAAAGCTCCCTGGGTGATTCTGGGGTAGCCGGGGTAGAAAACCTGTATTTTACCGCAGAGGTCTTTAGGAATAGGAGACTTGGGACCCATTGTGGTCTTCATCCTGCAGTTTAAAGCCCTGGACAAGATTTAATCCTCCAGCCTCGTTTCCCTGTTAGGCTAAGGTGGTACTGGTGCCTCGATTAGCTACACACCTGTAGGTGCTTCCGGTGGCTTGTTGGGCACGGTGTGGTTACATGCCTTTATTTCTACAGTCTCCCAAAAAAGTGGGTGATGACATCGCCAAGGCAACTGGTGACTGGAAGGGTCTGAGGATTACGGTGAAACTGACCATTCAGAACAGACAGGCTCAGGTAGGTGCTGCTTGTGCTTGGTTTGAGGGAGGGCAGAGGCAGTAGCCCTCTGGGACTGTGGACAAAGGATCCTGCTGCAGGGGGTACTCTGGTGGGAAGGCTTTGTCAAGAGCAGGGACAGGGTCAGAGGCATAGGTAGGTTCAGATACCAGCCCTTCACACGTGTGGCATTGGGCAGACCACGTAACATCGCCCAGGCCACGAATGTGTTAGGATCGTGTACAGCGAGCCCAGTGTCTGCCCCCTGGTTCCTGAGGCTGGCTCCCGTGCCAGCATTGCTTGTCCCGTGGCGGTGCTGTTCACTTGGAGTGGGGTGGGTAGACGTAACAAGATCTCCTCTGCAGATTGAGGTGGTGCCTTCTGCCTCTGCCCTGATCATCAAAGCCCTCAAGGAGCCACCAAGAGATAGAAAGAAGCAGAAAAACAGTGAGTTGGCTTTTCCTAGATCGCTTTCAGGGTGGCCCGTGACGGTGTTAAATACAATTTGATGAACCCTGGGGTCCATGGGTATGGCTGATCAGTGAGTGCCAGTTCCCAGTCCCTGTGGGGCAGGTCCCACTCTGCCAGTACACCACTGTTCCTTCCCGTGTCAGATGGCTGGCATCGAAGGGGAAGGCTTGGGTTCCCTTAGCCACCCGCCACTGCACCTGACCAGTTCTCCGTTGGCTGGTGCAATCCAGTGGTGAGCTGATAGTGACCCCAGCTAAGGAAACAGGGTTGTTCTTCCTGTGGGCGACTCTGTGCCGAAAGCATGGGAACAGCCCGGAAGTAGGTGGAAGACCGTGCTAAGTGCCCTTTTTGGGTAAGGACTGTGACAAAATCTTTACTGTCTTTTCTATAGTTAAACACAGTGGGAATATTACTTTCGATGAGATTGTCAACATTGCCCGACAGATGCGGCACCGCTCCTTAGCCAGAGAACTTTCCGGTAAGAGCAGGCAGTGTTTGACCACCTTAACTGGTGTGTCGGGGTGCTTTCAGTTCATGGGCTCTGAAAAAGGCCTGTTTCCTTTCTCTTTTTTTGCGGGGGGGTGGTGGTGGTGGTGGTGGTGGTGGTGGTGGTGGTGGTGCTTTTTGAGACCGGGTCTGGATATGCAGTTCAGGCTGGCCTTGAGCTCACTTTGTAGCCCACGTTGGTCTCAAACTTGCAACGATTCTCCTGCCTCAGCCTCCCAAGTGCTGGGATTACAGGCGTGCGCCACCACGCCTGGCTTGGGCCTAAGTTTTCTGAGTTTGAAAGAAGGGCCTGGGCATCTAGATGGAGTCTTAAATTTGCATTAGGGTATCGAGTGCCATTCCCTCCCTTGCCTGCTGTGAAACTTAAAGATATCCCTGACCCACCCCCCTGAGAACTGTGGGGAACTGAGAGAAGAGCCCCACTCATGTACCCATTAACTGTAGGAACCATTAAGGAAATCCTGGGGACCGCCCAGTCTGTGGGCTGCAATGTGGACAACCGGCACCCTCATGACATTATAGATGACATCAACAACGGTGTTGTGGAGTGCCCAGCTGTAAGTGACTGCTGCAGGCTTGGTTACAGGGGTTAAAGCCAGGGGCAACGAATGCATTCCTGGAGATGAGTAGGGGGTGGGTGAAGACTTGGTCTTTCTTTCCTTTTTTACTAATAGGGTCTTTTTCTCTCCACAGAGCTAAGAAACACAAAATACTTCAATAAAAAGATGATCTGACAACTGCAGTCTGCTTTCGTGAAGGGTTTGGCTCCTTGTGGGGTGGTTAGTGGGGCCATCCACGGTGGCAGGACCTGTAGTGTCCTCTGGGTGACAGAACTCGTGGGTAACATCCCGCTCTGTGTGGGGTAAACTTGGGGAGGAAACCATGAAATCAGTATTGGTTTTTGCAGACACTTGAACATTCTCAGCCAGTAAGAAAACCTAGGAAAAGTAGCCTTGCACTTCAGCCAGTTTTAATCTGGGAGGTTTGGCAGTCCAGGGCAGAGTTAGTACAGCCAGGGCTCAGAAGCACTGACAGTAAGATCTGACCCCTGCCAGGGTCCTATGGGAGTCATCTGATGTGATAACTGCAGGCCACCCTCTGCACTGGCTGTTTCCCCAGTTCAAAGCTTCACCTTAACCCTGTGCTCAGTGTACCTTTGAGACTTGTGGCACTACCAAAAAAAAAAGCTGGATGTGGTGGCACTACAATCTCAGTGCCTGGGAGTATCCTTGGAGACCAGTCTGGGCCACAAAGTAAGCTCAAGGCCAGCCTGAACTGCATGGCAAGGCCCTGTCTGAAAAAGACTCCGGGCACTGGGACAGACAGCAGTTTGAAGTGCTCCCTACAAGGGCTTTTGGGTACCCGAAAAGATTGGGCTCTCACTTTGTGTGTGGCCCCTCAAGGATTAAAGTAGGGTGGATGATCTAGAAGGTCTGAGCACGGGAGTCAGCCATATAACTCGCCCTCGGCGGCTGAGGCCTGCAGTCTGAGGGCGTGGTCTCAAAGCAGCCCTGTTTTGTGTACTGGAGAGGGAGCTGGTGAGAAAGGGGAGGCACAGGCATTCTGCGCTCAGGGCTGTTTGGGAGAAAAGCAGGCTGCCCAGAAACCTGGACCATGTGCCCCTCCATTAGGAGGAGGACTGCTGCAGCCACCCCCTCCCAATCTCACGTTTTGACTTCTCTGTTCTTGGACTACCTTTGTTTTGGTAGTTGAGCTCAAGACCTTGCACTTGCCAGGCAGGTGCTTGTGCCGCTCAGCTATATCCCCAGCCCTGACTTCGTTCTTGGTTCTTCCCATTTGGGTCTCCATGAGAAATAGGCCATGCCTCCTCATGTGGGGTCACTTGTAACTCGCCTGTCCATGGTTAGCCAGGCCTCTTCTCACCTGTACCCTCAGAGGGAGACCAGTCTGGACTGAGTGTAGGTTCCCCGGATCCTTGGCACTGAAGATTCTGCCTGTGCAGTTGCTGCCTGTGAGGCTGTCACCTGTCCCAAGTCCCAGTTATTCCCCAGCGTGCAGTCTGGTGGTGGAGGAAGGCCGAGCTGCACCGGAAGGCCTTGCTACGCTCCGTGCAGGCGTAGGGCTTCTCCCCGGTGTGCAAGCGCTGGTGGCTGGTGAGGTGGGCGCTGTGGCGAAAGGCCTTGCCGCAGTCCGGGCACTCGTAGGGCTTCTCGCCGGTGTGGATTCTCTGTGCTGGACCAGGGCCGAGCCGTCGCTAAAGGCCTTCACGCACTCGCCACACTTGTAGGGCTTCTCTCCCGTGTGCATGCACTGGTGCTTGGTGAGGTTCGCCTTCTGGCTGAAGGCGCGCCTGCACTCACCGCACTTGTAGGGCTTCTCCCCGGTGTGGGTTCTCTGGTGCTGAATGAGCGCGGAGCTCTGGCTGAAGGCCTTGCCACACTCGCTGCACTTGTAGGGCTTCTCCCCGGTGTGGCTCTTCTGATGCTGAGAAAGGGAGGAGCAGTAGCTGAAGGCTTTGCCGCACTCGCTACACGGGAACGGCTTCGCTCTGCGCGGTGGAACGACTTCTGAATTCTGAGAGCGCTCGGAACACGTTCCGCGCCGGCGAGGCCTTGCCGCTGCAGGGGCTCTGTGTTGCGCAGGAAGGACAGGCCTCAAGCTGGAGCTCAGCCCCGCTCCCTGGTCCCCGGCTCTGGCTCCCCAGGGGGCATCTCCGCTGCAGCAACGGGGCCTGGCTGCTCACAAGAGGCTTGCCCGGCTGCCGAGGCGGGGGCAATCTTCCAGGCTGGAAAAGTCAGAAAACCAGCCCTGCTGCGTTCCCTTGGTGAGCAAGTACACAAGAGGCCTCTGGCCAGGACCTGATGCAGGCAGAGGTGGGGGCTCCTCCTTTCACCCAGGACACACCTGCTCGGAGCCAGTGACCACCAGGGCTTCTCAGGGACTTGGGGTGTGCTGTCACAGCCCCCTTTTTTCCTTTTCTGACCTGGCAAGGGGAAGAACAGCCTGAACCTCCTGCCCCAGCGAGAGGGTTCCTGACACTCCTGCTCCTCCATGCTCATGCCAGTGCCTGGGCTGCCTTGTATTTTCTGATTCTGATTCTTGGTGCGGTTTGAAGCAACCTACTTACAAGGTTTAAATAAATCTTTAAAAGGTTCTCACTAGCTGGGTGCAGTGGCTGAAGTTTGAAATCCCAGCACTTAGGGAGGCTGAGGTAGGAAAATTCCAAGTTCAAGTCCTGCCTGGGCAACTTAGTGAGACCCTGCTTCCCGCTGGAGCTGGGGGTGTAGCTCAGTGGTACAGTGCCCCTGGGTTTGATCCTCAGTACTGCCCCAAAAAAGGAAAAAACAAAAAAGACCAATGCCAAATAAGATGAAATTTTTTCATCACCAAATCTGGCAGATTTCAGAGGTGGTTTGCTTGAGAGGGTTGGTGAGCACACCGTACGGCACGACGGGCTTGCTCGTGCACTGCAGTGCTTGTGCAAACTGGCGAAGGTGGGCACCTGAGGCCCTCAGCAGTGACCCCAAGCAGGCAAGGTGCCAGGTCGGTGGGGACTTGGTAATACCACCCGTGCCCCAGCCCTCTGGGGAGGGGAGGAGCTGAGGAGCAGTGAGCAGGCCTTGCTCCACACCCAGCCCTGCACTCCTTGCCAGCTTTGAGGCTGTCCTCTTAGCTTGACTTCCCCACCTATAACGTGTGTAAATAGTCCCTGCCCGGCAGGGTTGTTAGAATAATCAGTTGTAGTAGTGAGTGTATAGAAGGGCTTTGGCCGCAAAGCTCACTGGCTTCGCGCTTGCTTACCTGGACAGGTACTGCCTGGGCCGTCTCTCTCCAGCATCCAGGGGATTTCGCTTTGCTCCAGCTGGGAGTTCATGCCAGGCCGGGATATTGGAAGTGCTAGTCAAGGGGAAAAGACGAGATTCTGAGATTGCGTTTAGCGTAATCAGCCAAAACTCAGGAGGACACAGGCCAGTTAGGTCATCCGCTGCATTCAGCCGGTGCTTGTTGAGCTCACACTTGGCACAGGCGCTAGGAGAGACAGCAGGAAGACGGCGTGCCGAGGTCTGCTGGAGCATTTCTGGAAGGAGCCAAAGAAACAGCCTCAAGGAGAGGTCACGCAGGGAGCTAAGCGAGGGGCACCGACCCACTTGGGCAGATGGGGACTTGAGCGTGAAGGAGCTGACCGGAGAAACACACGCACACCCCAGAAATGAGAGAACTGGGGTGCCGCCCCGGGGAAAGCAGAGTGAAACCATTTGCCAAATGGGTGCCCGGAGATGCCGTCAGCGCCCTACAGCATTTCAAAACCAAGATGATTCTCAGCCTTCAATGTTTTCCTTACCCAGCAGGACCAGATTTCTGGACTTTTCTGGTGTCCCCTCTTTCAACCTGTCCCTCGGAGCAGGGGGCGCGTGTCTCCACCCCTCCTGGGCAAAAGCAACATGCACACTGCTGAATGCTGTGGAGCCCTGAAAAGACAGGTGAATTCCTTCTCACCTGTGGCCTTAGGATCGATGGCGGAGGTGATGGGGTGGTGACGCTGGTGCCTTCGAGGAAGCTGGAAGAGGGTCTTAAAGGTTCAGGTCTCTGGGTGTTCAAGAAAGCATTTACCAGTCACTCCTGTGTGCCTCAAACTAGGGATGACACACTGTCTTGCCAGGTGTGGTGGCACATGCCTGTATCCCAGCACTCGGGAGGCTGAGGCAGGAAGATCACCTCGAGTTTGAAGCCAGCCTGGGCTACACAGTGAGTTCAAAGCCAGCCTGAACTACATAGTGAGATCTTGTCTCCAAAAAAAACAAATAAATAAATAATTTTAAAAATAGAAAACAACACCGCCTCTTATCTAACTATGTCTATCATCCTGGTAAACTTTAAATAGTTAGAAAGTATATGGATGAGAGGAATTAGGCAAAATGTAACAGGTCCCCCGAAGTTAAGAGGGTAAAAAAAAAAAAATTTAGCAGAGTGTTCACACCGCGAATAACCAGGAACAGAAACATGAAAGCTGGTTTTCAGAGCGTGTAGGATTCAAGGCCACGGCAGGGATGGACGGACTAACTGCAAGGAGGATAGGGGGCAAGAAGGATGCTCGGGAGAAATGAGCCTTCACGCCTTTAGCCGGGGGAGCCCAGCGGAAGTCAGATGCACCCTGAGGTGGAGGGGAGGGGGCTCAGGGGCTTCAGTGGGGTCCTGCCCAGAGACAGCAGTGAGATGCACAGCCGGAAGGGACAGTGGGGGAGGACAGCGAGAGGGAGTCAGAGACATAGCCTGTTGGGAACAAGCGCGAGGTCTGCTGCAGCAATGCGGGGTGTGTGTGTGTGTTTATGTCTGGTAGAACTGGGAACTGAACCCCGGGCCTCACGATGGTGAATGTTAAAATTAAAAAAAATTATTACAGTAAAAGACATACTATCCTTAATCTCCCTCAAAATACTCCCCCTTGCTTTGCACATACCCCATCATTCTTGTTACTTTTTTTTTTTTCTGTTTTGTTCTTTGAGACAAGGTCTCACCATGTAGCCCAGGCTGCTCTCAAACTCTGGGTGATCCTCCTGCCTCAGCCTCCTGAGGGCTGGGATTACCATCTTGCCCGGTCTTCTTGCTACTTTCTGAGCAGGTCTGGAAGTCCTCTTTCACGAGTGTCTTCAGTTGTGCTGTCCTGAACTGATTCAAAACGTTCACCTTCCACTCATTTTGACTTTGGGGAAGAGCCAGAAGTCATACCGTGAATAAGGTGGGCGGAGACACTGGTAGTGTTTTTACGAGCCTGCCTTTCCATTGGACAGCACTCACCAGCAGCTGTCACCATATAAACGTCCTATGAAGGAAGATTCCAGAACTGCTGCAGTTCATAGCCAAAAACTTTCAATGTAAATGGGAAAAAAAAAAAACCCTTAAGATTTCAACTCAAGGTTAAAAACATAAACTTTAATAACTCTAAGGAAAGCAGAAGCCAAGAACTAATAAATAAAGTATGTTAGATTGGTCATGGTGGTGCACACCTGTAATCCCAGCACTTGGTAGGCTGAGGCAGGAGGTTCACTGCAATTTTGAGGCCAGCCTGGGGTACATAGTGAGTTCAAAGTCAGCCTTAACTACATAGCAAGACCCTGTCTCGAAAAACAAAAAACAGAACAAAACAAAAGTTATTAGCTGAGTGTGATGGTGCACACATGTAATCACAGCCAACACTCGGGAGGCTGAGGCAGGATGATTGTTGCAAGTTTGAGACCAGCCTGGGTTACAAAGTGAGCTCAAGGCCAGTGTGAACTACATAGCGAGACCTTGTCTCAAAAAGGCCAAAAAAAAAAAAAATTTGGTAGAATACTCATTGAGATGAGAGAATGTCCATCACATTCTGCCACATGGAAATAAAAAGGTTACAAAGTTGAATAAGCCCACTTTGGGAAAATATAGAGAAAAGAGAATATGAAAGGCCACAAATTGGGCTGGGGATGTAGGCACAAGCGCCTGCCTAGCAAATGCAAGGTCCTGAGTTCGATTTTTTTTTTTTTTTTTTTTTCTGAGTTCGATTTTTGGTACCAAAATTTGTGGCCTACCTGGCCACAAATCAAAATGTTAAGTGATATCTCTGTGACATTAAGGGTGTTTTGTACGTTTTTGTGACTTCTGAATTCTCCATGTGTTCTGCAGTGAACATGAATCTGTCTTGTAATTAGGTGGGGGAAAGCCCAAACCGGCTCTACCACGAAGAGCAAAGAGAGAAAGAGGTTGCCCAGCCCATCTCCCGCTTACCTGGGGCCAGGCCGTGAGCAGGGCGGCAGCCATTCCTCCTCCCCGCGCGGGTCCTCCGCCGGAAGGGCCGCGTCCGGGCAGTGCTGGAGGGACACACAGGCATGAAGGTAGGCAGCCGTTCTCACCATGAAGAGGATTTCAAAGGTCACACCTCTGATACGGGGCGCTGGGCTGCCTTGTTGTGCCCTGTCCCTCCTACCTCAGACACATGCACATGAGAGGGGGACAAACGCTCAAGTGCTGAGATCGCCGACTCCTCTGGGGTGCACATGTAAGCAGACAGCTTATAAGCGTTACCTGGTTACTAGAGCTTTGGGGAAAGCGGCTCTGTACCTTTAAGACATTTACTTAACCAGCAGAAGAGGTAATGAAGGAGAGGTAGGGTTTGTCTCAGGAATGAGAGGCTGGCTCAGTGCGCCAAACAGCACACTATATCACAGAACGAAGGAAAACACCCAGCGTGACCATCCCGCTGCACACAAACAGGCCACTTGAAAATGAAACACTTTCATGATCAAAAACAAAAAATCAACAAAGTAGACGTAAACCTCCTCTACTCGATGAGCTGAACCATTAAGCTCATATTCAACGATAAAACACTCAAAGCTTTTCCTCTAAGGTCAAGAAGACAAGGATGTCTGCTCTCATCACTTCTATTCAATAGGCTAGGGCTGGGGATTTAGCTCAGCGGCACAGCGCCTGCCTGGCAAGCGCAAGGTCGTGAGTTCAATTCCTGGTACCGGAAAACAAAAAACAAAAAACAAAAAAGTCTACTACAGGTTCTAGCCAGGACAATTAAGAAAAAGAAAGGCAGAAGACTGAAAAGGAAGAAGCAATCCTATTTACAGGTAACGCAAATTTGTATACAAAAAACCTGGAACAGCTGTAATCCCAGCACTCAGGAGACTGAGGCAGGAAGATCACAGTGAGTTCAAGGCCAGCCTACACTACATAGCAAGACCCTGTCTCAAAAAAATAAAAACAAACAAAAAACACCCAAAAAACAAAACAAAAAAACCCTTAAGTAATGTATGAAAACTAATAGCTAACAAGCAAGGTTAGAAAGACAAGACAGGAGATAAATACAAAAAGATCAGTTATATTTTTATATTCTAGCAATAAACCCAAAAATGAAAAAAAAATTCCATTTATAATAGCATCAGAAAGAATAAAATTGCCAGGCACAGTGGCATATGTCTGTAACTCCAGCTCCTGGGGAGGCTGAGGCAGAAGGATTGCTAATTTGAGGTCACCCTGGGCAATTCAGTAAAACGGCCTCAAACTAAAACAAAAAGGGCTGGGGATGCAGCTCAGTGTAGAGCATTTACCAAGCACATACAAGTCTCTGGGTTCAACCCCTGATACCACATACACAAAAATTAATATCTAGGCATACATTTAACAAATGAAGCCTAAGATTTATAAACTAAAACTAAAGTTCTTCAGAGAAATTATGGAAGGCTTAAAACAGTACAAAGACATCCCGTGTTCATGGATTGGGAGACAGTATTATTAAAACAGCAATAATCTCAAATTAGTCAACGGAGTTAACGTAATTCCCCTAAAAATCCCAGCTGGCATTTTTACAGAAACCAGCAAGCTGATCCTGACATTCAAATGGAAATTCAAGGAATAAGGAACAGCCAAAACAATGGTGAAAAAGAACAATGTTGGAGAAATCATACTTCACCTTATCAAAGCTTTCTACAAAACAAAAGTAATCAAAACAACAGTGTACGGGCATAGGGACAGATCTTTGGATCATTGGAATGCCAAGGTTAGAAACAAACGTACTTATGGGCAATTTATTTTTAACAAAGGTGTAAAGAAAATAAATTTTAAAAAAGAAATTAAGTGAGGGAAAGGTTTTGTTTTTTTATGTGATGGTTTCAACTAGATATCCACAGGCTGAAGAATGAATGCCATATACAAAAACTGACTCCAAATATATCAAAGACCGAGAAAGCTAATACTCTCAGAAGAAAACAGGAATCTTTGTGACCTCAGATTAGGCAGTGACTTCTCAGATATGACACAAAAAGCACAAACAATAAAAGAAAAAAAAATAGATGAAATGGACTTCATCAAAATTAAAAACTGCTTCAAAAGACACCATCACAAAAACGCAAAGAAAAACTCAGAAAATATTTACAAACTATAAATTTTATTTACAAGGATCTAATATCCATATGATAGAAAGAATTCTTACAACATAAAAGACAACTAACTCGATTTAAAGGTGGACAATAAGCTAAGCATGGTGGCCATGCCTGCAGTCACTTGGAAGGCTGAGACAGAAGGACCACTGCGAGTTTGAGGCCAGCCTGAGCTACACAGTGAGACAATATCTCAAAGGCAAAATATCTGAACAGGTATTTCTCCAAGCAACGTACATAAGTGACCACTAAGCACAGAAACGCAGCACCATTAGAGAAAAGCAAGTGCAGCCACAGGGCACATCACTTCACGCCTACTAAGGCAGCGATGTGAAAGATGGGAAATAAATATTGATGAGGATGTAGAGAAGTTGAAACCATCACACACTGCTGGTGAGGATGTAAAATGGTACATACAGCCCCTGCGGAAAACAGTTCAGCAGTTCCTCAAAAAGTTAAAGGGTTATAATTCTACTCCTAGATATATACCCAAGTGAAACAAAAACACCTCCACATTAAAAACTTGGGTGTGCATATTCATAATAGCCAAAAGTGAAAATCCAGATGTCCATTCTCTGAAGGATGGGTACACAAAATGCAACACAGTCATACAATATTACTCAACTACAAAGAGGAAGGGGCTGGGGATTTAGCTCAAAGGCACAGCGCCTGCCTGGTAAGCGTGAGGTTGTGAGTTTGATTCCTGGTACCAGAAAAAAAAACAAAACAAAAAAACTATAAAGAGGAATGAAAGCCAGGGGTGGAGGCATATGGCTGTAATCCCAGCACTTGGCAGGCTGAGGCAGGAGGATTGCCATGAGTTCAAGGCCTGTCTGAGCTACAACATGAGTTTAAGGCCAACCTAAACTACAAAGCCTATCTCAAAAAAACAAAAAAAAAGTACTGATACATGTAATAATACAGATGAACCTTGAATACATTCTGCTAAATAACTGGCCAGACACAAAAGGTCACATATTGTATGAGTCCGCTTACATTAAATGTCTTAAGTGAACACATAGAAACAAAAAGTAGATTTGGGGTTGCCAGGGTCTTCTGGGGAAGAGAGAAGGGAAAGTGACTGCCAGGGAGTATGAGGCTTCCTTTCTAGGTGATGAATTTGTTCTGGAATTAAATAGTGGTGACAGTTACACAGTTTTTTGAAAACACTAAGACTCACTCATATCTTGAGAAGGATGAAACAATTGTGGTAGGTGACATGCATCTGAATAAAAATAGCAAACAGGCCTGGACACTGGTGTTAGTACTGATCTCCTGCTATTGAGCTGTACCTAAACTCCACTGTACCTTATTTTCTTTATAGCATGGGCAGAATGACAACCACTCATCCAACCTATTTTCCCAGGTCTCTGGGGAAGACAACATGATATGCTGGATGTGAAATTGCATGCTTCACTCTTCAAGTGCAAGACCAAATACTGGGGCCCCTTGACCCACAGGCTGACGGCACACGCCTCGGTGCTTAAAGACTTCACACACATTTGTTCTGTACCAAATTTGGGTGTTTTCGAAAACGTTATTTTATTTGATTATACTTTTTCCAGCTAAACAAAATAATTAAATGTTATTTTGTCTTTTCTTCAATGGAGAAACACAGGTTAACAGATCTGGCCGGTAATCACAACTTTAATAAGCATCCCTGGCTGTTTCAAGAAGGGCTGGAATGGCTGGGCATGCGTGTTGGCGCACGCCTGTAATCCCAGCATTCGGGAGGCTGAGGCAGGAGGATCGCTGCAAGTTCGAGGACAGCCTCGGCGACAAAGTGAGTTCCAGGCCGGCCTGAACTGCGTAGTGGAACCCTGGCTCAAAAAGACAATACAAAAAAACGGGGCGGGGAGGGGGGCGCCCTGGAAGGAGAAGCGACAGAGCAGTCGCTGGGTACGTCCCCTCCTTCTTCCCAGGAACCCCCTTCTTACAGTCTATTAGACACTGGGCTCAGAGGTAGATACTCAGAGATCATTCAGGTCTGAGGTCTTAAAAACATTTTGACGCCAGAATTCTTTATTTTAAAAGGGTCTGTCCCTAACCATTAGTGGAAAAGATAGCCCGCGTTCTGGTCCGGGCCACGCAGGAGCGTCAGTGGGCTAAGTGGAGCGAGAAGCGGGATCTTCTGCAATCCGCTCCCTCGGCCACTCCTCACCTTCCTCCAGCACAGGAGTCCCACTTCGGGCCACCGCCTCCCAGCAGCTCCCCGGGCGTCAGCGTCGCTGCACAGCACCCCGGGCCTAACCTGCGGGGCTGCTCTGACAGCTCCCCGGCTGGCCTCTTCTTCCTGGCCAGCCTCTCCCCACAGAGGTCTAACCTGAGCCCGAGTGTAGGTCCTAGAACCCCCATTCGCAACACTCCGTCTCCCTAGCCACAGCCACCCCCTTGGCAAGGCCTCAAGCAGAGCTTAGGTGAAAAAGCCGATGCAGGGTTCCGCGAAGACAGGCGACCTGCCTCGGCAATAAACTAGCTCATGCCGGGCGTGGGGGCACACACTTGTAATCGGGGAAGCTGAAGCAGGAGGATCGCTGCGAGTTCGAGACCAGCCTGGACAACAAAGTAAGTTCAAGCCCAGCCTGAACTACAGAGCAAGACCCTGTCTCAAAAACTAAAACAAAACACCCAAAACCCAAAACCCAACCAAAACAAAAAGCTCTACATCAGAATTGCTATACCAGACACTGCCAAACATGTATGCCAGCGGTCGCGCCAAGTGGACGCAACTGAAGCGTCACTTCCGGTCATGCGCAAAAGCCCCACCACAGTAGACTGGACTCCATTTCCCAGAAATCTCTACCGTTTGTTTCAGGCCAAAGCCCTTTCTCCTCCCGCTGTCAGGTTTATAATCTGCTTTGTCTACTGGACCATACTTCCCAGAGAAGCTTCCGCTTGTTCTCGCTCCCAGAATATATTATCCATCATGATTTTTTTTGTTGCACATCTTCAACTGCACGGAATCCGAGAGGGGGGCCTAGGGGGGTATAGGAAGTGACGTGGCCGCCAAGGATCCTGGGAACGCTGGCTGTTGCGCATGTGCAGGCGCCTGTGCAGACGTACGCCGGCGCTGGGAGCGGGTCTCTTCCTCCTTCCTGCTCAAGACCCGGGATGCTGGGGTTTCTGTCCTCGTTGTCCGTCAGCAGGCTTATCCCCCAGCCACCTTCGTTCATGGCCCTTATGAGCCATCAAGTGTAAAGGAAATTGCCATTCGTTTGAACAAGGCAGCTAAATACGAAGATAGGGGAAACGGCTTCTGTAATTGCAAGGGCAGAAGTACATTTAGTAGTATTTGATCAGTCCTATTTCAGGAGGAGAATACTTTTTTTTTGAGACAAGGTCTTGCTATATAGTTCAGGCTGACCTTGAACTCGCGGCAGCCCTCCTGCTTCAGCCTCCCAAGTGCTGGGATTATAGGTGTCCACCACCACGCCTGGCTAGATGAAGATTCCTTCATGTCCTGTCCCTTAGGAGCTTCTCAGCTGCAGGCAGGGGATGGAGGTTTCCGTGAGCGTTCCGGAGCACTCGTGAATTACATGAAAGCCCACTGGAAGTTCTTCCCTTGTCAAGCAATATCGTGATGGCCGCGTCCAGCTTAGAGCTAGTAGAGGGGAGTGGGTTACCGGGAAAGCAGAAGCAGCAAGTTTGGGGTCCTGAAGCTTCTTTCCATCTTTTACTGTCTCTGTCCTTTCCAGTAGCAGCTGGTGGCATTTTTGCAAGCATAATTTTCTTAGTTTTGTGGGTCTTTTATGAATCTAGGATTTGCTCTGTCAGACAAACCACACCCACACATTTTCTTGAGATGAGCCCTAACTTGGCCTTCTGCAATTTTGTGCTTAGAATTTGAGAGGTCAGAAGTCTGAAGTCGGTCTCACTGACCTAAGTCAGGTTATCAAATTGCTGTTCTTTTGAGAGGCTCTGGAGAATGTTTTGTGTTTTCCAACCTGAACAGGATGCCAGCATTTCCTTGCTCGTGGCCCCTTCAGCCTTCAAAGTCAGCAGCCTCAGGGAGCAACCTGCTGCTGCTGTCTAGTTCTCTTGCCCCTCCCCCGCTGCAAGTACTCGGGGTTGAATTCAGGGTCTTCACACTGAACAACATCCCTGGCTCTTTTAAAAAATTTTTTGAGACAGGGTCTTGCTTCATTGCTAAGTTATCCAGGCCAAGGTCAAATTTGGGATCCTCCTGCCTCATCGTCTCAGAGGGTTACAGGCTTCTGACACCCAACCTGGCTATCTTTTTCTGACTATTAAGACCCTGTATCATATTGGGCCACTGAAATAGTTGAGGAGAATCTATTTTAAGATCAGCTGATTAGCAACCCTAATTGCACTTTGCCATGTAACCTGTGTATAAATTTCAGGGCTTAGGACATGGACATCTTTGGGGAGGTGGCATTATTTTGTGATGCCCAGAGTCCAACCGCTGGCTGACATCACCTGTTACACCCCCTTCCCCAGTCTGCCACTGGTGGAGCCATCTCAGCACTGTGCCAACCCAGCCAGTGCAGAGGGAGCTGTCAAGGGTACTGGAAGGAAGAGTATCAAGTTGTGCAGAAACTGGACACGGAGCTCACCACGTCACCTTGGGCAGGTCTCTCGCCTCCTAGTCTGTCTGGGTCTGCCCTTATGCCATCAAGGCTTGGCTCAGAGCCTTCTCTGAAAAGCTTCTGAGATGCCCTGGGCACAATGATGAATTCTGTGCCAACCAGAGCTTTCCTGTCTCACTGTTCAGCAACTGACCTCCCCTAGGCCAAGGAGGGTCCTGGTTGTTTCATTTGCTGTCTGGGGAGGCACCTTCTTCTTACAGGGAGAGCCTGCGGGTAGTGAGTGTTTCCATCTTGGGCCTTTGGCATACTGAGAGAATTGTTATGCCCCGAAGTCTCCTGAGGGGCCATATGCAGGCCTGGGCCAGAGTGAGGCAGCTGCAGCAGAGATGTCAGACTGAGGCCAGGTGTGGCGGCACACACTTGTAATCTCAACACTTGGGAGGCTGAGGCAGGAAGATCAAGGCAAGTTTAAGGTCAGCCTGAACTACACAGTGGGACCCTGTCTCAAAAAAAAAAAAAAAAAAAGGGGGCTGGGGATTTAGCTCAGCAGCAAAAGCGCCTGCCTGGCAAGCGCAAGGTCGTGAGTTCGGTTCCCGGTACCGGAGAAAA